GGGGGGGAGGGACACAGAGAGAATCTATGCACTCATGCAAATGTTCAGAAAGAGCAGCAACTTCGGTGCTTCCCTGTTGATAAATACTGATTGTCTTTATCTTCATATTCACACACGTCACAGGAATTTTGATCTCAACATTTGGAATGTGCAAAATAAAGATATTGCAATCCGATTACCTCGTATTCTAACAAGAAGGTATTTTAAGGTTATTTACTTGTGTTCTTAATTCGTAGATTTTGAAAAGAAAACAAGTTTAACTACTCGGTCGAAAAGTAAATGGAAAGGCAGATTTTAATGGCAAAGTTAGAACCCTTTCTGGTTACAGCAGGAATGTATAGTCATAAAAATATAGATACTTCTATTCTGCCTGCTCAATATATCATTTCATTGATTTGAAATGTGCAAGTTGTTATCCTTTTGAAGCTGGCGCTAACTTTAGAAAACGTGAACAGGTGACATAAGAGTTACTGTATAAATTTTACATATCGATTGATAATTTGACATCATTTTAATTATCACCAATCTATTATATACATTTAATTATCAATTAAAACTAATACTTCAAAATTAAACATGTTCAACACACCACACAGCATATTATAAAAATGCATACAGGAAGCACAAAGTCAGACTTTATAATACAATTTATTTTTATTTTAAGTCAAAGTATCCACTTATATTTTCTGCTGCTATAGTAGGAACAATCAGAATATAGAAACAAGTCAGGTAGAAATATACATGAACAAGACTACATGTGTTTCGTAGTATGGTTTCTTTATGTTCATAGATGCACTAAGCTTATTGGTGAGACAACAGAATAATTTGTTGGATACAAGTTTAAGCGATGTACAAACCCATTCAAAATACACCCATCTATCATAATATACATACCCGCTATTTACCAGAACTTGTATGATAGAGATAATAAATTTGTTACAAAATGAATATATTTACATTTGATGCCAAGACAGTAAATTGACAGGCTAAGAAAAAGCTTAGTGTAAAATTAGTACAAGCAAACAATTTTAAAATCTCATTCCTTATCTTGCTGCATGTTTTAAAAAGAAAGAGAAAAACGTAAGAATCAAGCTACATAGAAAGGTAGAAGTGCAAATGCTTTCTCATTTCATAGTTTTGCATTGCGAGAAAAGTAAAAGTGAAAACCTGCAATAAAAAGATGACAGGAAATTCGAAAAAGATTTACAACATCTGGGAAAAGGAAGACCAATTTTTTGGAGGGCATGGAATCAGCAGCACAGTAGATACTACATGCAAAGAATACGTATCTGCAACATTTCTCAAACCAATCTGGTGCTTGGAGGTTGAAATAATGGTGAGAAGATGCAAATATAACAGAGTTTACATCTGGTTCTATGATATAGGAAAGGAAGAGGCAAAAATAAGTCAAGACTCAGTGATGAAAAGCTAAACAAGAGTATTGAGGATGGAATGGGTCCCACCAAATCTTTCCAATTCTACTTTTATTAGAGTGCTATTCTATTAATTCGAATCAAGATCACTTTTTGAAAGCATCCATGAGAGATGATGATTTACATTGGTGATTCCAAAGCTCAATGATTTGGATGCCACTTGCAATGACAACTTAGACGAGCATAAACAAGGCTCAATACCTGGTTACAGAGTGCAAATAAGGGACAAAGTCTTCACAGACCTTGAATTGTCTGAATTTCCAGGGAGGTCCTGCTGAGTTTCAAAGATATTGATGTGGTGCTGACATTAAGTAAACCGGCATGAAACAGAAACTTTTCAGCATTTCATGAGTAATTGTGGAAATAATGGACGAGATTGTTAAAATTAATCAAGAGGAGTACTATATGGAAATAAACTAGAAAGTGACATTTCACACGGTTTCATAAAGGGCAGATTCTGTGACAGCACAAGTTGGATTCTTAAGTATGGCTAATCAGGTATAGCTCTCAATAAAGCTCTGCACGAACAGCCACGGTACAAGCACAGGATACTAGGCACCTTCAGTAAAATGTGAAGGTGTACAGACAAGGAGGTAGCCAAAGGAATGCTCTGGGTTCCAGTTCGGGAAGTGGCATAGGGCTCCAACTTTTCAGGAGCAAAATGGCTCAAAGCCATTCCTGTTTCAAAAGGCATAGATCATTGGATTTGGAAACACAAATTGGTCAAATTCGCAGCTAAATACCAAACGAGAGAGAGTTGGGAATTGTGCTGGTAAAGCAGCCAAGAAATTACACAAGGAGATGAACAATTTCTGCGTGAACCAGAGCAACAAAACCATGGCAGGTTATGCCTAATACAGATAAACATGGGTGGTACACAGAAGAGGAGAAATGGCCTTGTATTAAATTAGACCCAATACTGAAAATGCCAACTCAATGCTCAGTAGGAATCAAAAGCAAAACAGAATATATTGGCAAAACACACAGAAGCAAGCCACTTGGCCCTTCAAGGCTGCATCATCATTCAATCACACCACGGGTGAAATGTATTTCAACTCCATTTATCTACTCTTACATCACGCAACACAACAAGTAAACTAGTAATCTATCTTCAAAATTTCAATCGTCCCCCAGACTCCATAGATTCTTTTGAGGGAAGAGAATTCCAGATATTCTTCCCCCAACCCCTGCCAGAGAAAATAGTTCCTCAATTTCTACCCTAACAAATCCCATCAGCATTTTAAAAATTACCATTCAACTATCTAAATTTAGATGAAAGCTAACTTATTTAACTTGTATATTTCTCTGATTTGAGGCAGCTTGTGCGCCAGGGAAACCAATTATATTTAAATAATGTCAAAACACCTTGAAAACACAAGAACTGCAAAAAGAACAGGTTCCCACGGGAACTTGTCGTACTGTAGATTAAATCAGCAATTAAGCGCACCCTTGACTATGAGGCACATGGCCCGGCCAGAGGGGGTTACAGGCATGCGGCCCAGCCAGAGGCGGTTACAAACAGCTCTGAGTGTCGATACAACAAACTGCAGTTCAGTGAGTGGCAATATTGCCTGACTTTGGAACTGGTTTAAGTGATCCAGCTTGAATTTACGCCCATGTCATAATGCTGGGAGTAAATATTCCAGCTGTTTACAATTTTATAAAGTAATGAGTACTACACTAACTCCAGCAGCTGAGTCACTTCCTCCACAGTTATTTCGTTCGTAGCACAACTTGTGAAACCAAAAACTTGTAGCCTCACAACTTCAAAATTATACAGGATTTAGAGCCCCTTCTGGCCCATATTTTTCAGTTTCTAAACAAACGCAACATATCCTACCTCAAATAAATGGCATCCCTCGGATTCTGTGCGATCATAAGGCCTAATGATCCCATCTTCACGAATACACCGAGGTGGGCGGAGTTTATTAACATCTTCGGTTGATTCTGCAACCCTAGTGGAGTCAGATATTGTAATAAATGACTTAAATAAGGGGAAAAAAAGTATTGAGTTTTTAAATCCCATGATTCACCAATAGTGCAATCCGCTGAATCCCACTCAACTGGCATATCATCTGCAACCTCCAACAGGAATTGGCTCACTATACTGCCAGAAATCTGCAGCAAGTGCGTGTAGCATGTGTGAGATGTACGACACTAATTCACCATGTTTTTTTTTTTTGAAAATCAGCACTTCCCTAGCCCACAATCTGTAATGACTAGAATGACAAGTGCAGCATGTGCAGAGGAACACCACCACTTGTATGTTTCCCATCAACTGAAATAGCACCCTGACTTGGAAACAGATTATTGTTCCATTGTCATTGCTGGGTCAAATTCCTAGAACTCCCTCCCTAACAGCACTGTCAGAGTTCCTTCAAGGAGGCAAAATAAAAATCTGTTGAAAACAAATGAAATCTGAGGCGAGGTGTGCATATTTTGAGTGGTTTATTCATCAGGATTTAAGACAGTCATCATTTCAATTTATGTATTTATGTTGTTCCTCTGGTGAATGTAGTTAGTGCATTGCAGACAATAATGTCTGAATTTAACAACAGTGTTAGTAAAATATTTTGTGAATCACAGTTATGCCAGGAATCCAGTTCCCATTAAAATACAAGCTAGTGAATAGATTTTTACACTATATTAAAATAGGTTTTAACATTCCATTAGTCATTCAGCTGTAAAGGGCACTATTTACCAATGAGACTTGGCAATAGGAAAAGCCTATTTTTTTGGGGACATTTGGGGGCAGCATGGTGATTCAGTGGTTAGCACTGCAGCCTCACAGCAGAGACCCGGGTTCAATTCTACCATCGGATGACCGTCTGCGTGGAGTTTGCACATTCTCCGTGTGTCTGCGTGGGTTTCCTCCCACAGTCCAAAGATGTGCAGGTTAGGTGGGCTGGTCATGGGAAATACTGGGATAGAGTAGGGGGGGGTGTGGGTCTGGGTGGAATTCTCTTTGGAGGATTGGTCCGGATTCAAATGGGTAAAAATGACCGGCTTCAACACTCTAGAAATTCTACGATTAGTAGAAGATTCAGATAAATTCAGTTGGCTCAGTACATCTTACTTTTTAATTCCTTGCAATGTGCTGCTCGCCATGTCAATGATCCCACCCGTTGGCCGTGCAACGACACCAACCAGACCTTTGCCCACTCCTTTGAAGAAACCAGCTGCACCTTCTTTTTTGGCACCTGTTGTAGGAAATTGTACTTCATGGCTTGGAAATGGTAATTCAATGGAGCAGAACATATTCAGAACAGATACTGACACCAGCTGCTTACAGGAATTAGACATTACTCACTTCCTATCACATTTTCTCACATGGACACACAGCACAGCTCCAAACAAAAGAATTAAAAAGAACTGGGCAGAATGACATAATGTGATGATGTCTGCATCAAGAATGGTGACAAATGACAATTACAGTCCAGATTCTTTCCAAACAAAAAAGAAAATTTAAATACTCAGTGATTCTGTTGCTAGACAATTTTTGTGCACATTTCAGTCAACATTTAAACACCAGTCCCTGGCCTACCCTCCAGACCAGGGATGCTGAAGTGACAAGCTTTTGTGTTTTTGTTCAAAATAAAATTCTCTGAAAGATTGATAAAATTTCACAACACCACGTATCACAGAGTTTGACACATTCAATCAGTAACTAGCAGCCCGAATTATAAAGGAAGAGAGGTGCAGAAAGTAATGCTCAAAATGCAAATAATTTTCCAATAAAAACAGAATTTGACTGTCACCTTATAGGGCTTTCACTTTTTGGTGATCTTCATTAAAAGGATTTGTAAGTCAATGATGTTTAAGTTTTAAAACAAAGTAATTTTGCACAATTTGAAATACTGAAATGCTATTTATTTCTTCAACCAGTAAGTCAAACAGCCATAAAGCTAAAATTGGAAAGAAATGCTTCACTGCAGCACTTCCAAGGTATGCCCAAGATAGGTGAAAGCATCAAAGAAGCTGAAGCCAACTAGCTGAATACATTATATACGAGAAATGTTCATATGATAGTCATTCAATTGTCTATTTATTACAATACTGTTTCAAGACAACGTATAAACTTTGTAGAATGGTATATAAATACAATGTACCTTCAACTGGCTTTGTGACTATTCCTGTAAATCCTCCAACCACACCCTGCAAAGATACAGAATAAAAACTTGTAAGTGTTTTTCATTATGGAACCTATTTCTCAATTGAAATCATTAGACTGCAACGTAATAACAGGACCATTATATCCGTATAGTGAAGGAAGTTTTACTGAGCAAGTACACCGAAAACAAAATACAAAGTTTCACAAGTGAAATTGCAAATAATTTTGATTTTAAGATTTCTACAGCATGGGCAATCTTCTTCAGGAACTCAGATTGGGTGTGCTACTATGTCCATAATCCTGCAGGCTGCTTCCATTGCAGAGAGGTGAAAATCAGTGGTCAGGGAGTCCATTAAGAGGATGTTTTCACCCACACTGATTGTTTATCCAAACCAATTGCAGCAAGATGTTGGAAGCAGGAGAACATAACTTGGGTGAAGCATCAAAGCAAAATTAGTGCACTCATCATACAACAGAACAAAAACTGGTGTTGTTCCAAAAGGCGTCTAGAGTTTGGCACAACCAAACACGTGGAACTGAGAAGCAAAACAAAGATCCATTTTGAAATTACAGTTTCAAATACATTAATTTTGTGCTTTGAAACTACATTTATTGTAAATTTAGATCTAAAGACATTAGGAAGACACACTACCTATATTAACAGTATAGCCAACTGCATTCTTGTGCTGTGGAATCAGATCACATTCACATCTGTTTTCCTGTAAGCTCCTCCAGATCACAGCATCTTGGCAGGTTGAAAATTTTTAATTTATTTTGACAATTCAGTTGATGGAATATAATATAAATATTCAAAATTACGAAAAGATGGATCAGGATAGGCATGTTGATAAAATGTCAATCTTTCAGAGTCATACAACAAGGAGGCCCTTTGGCCTATTCTGTCTGTGCTGATCCATCTACACTCATCCCAGTTTACAGCAAGTGGCCAATAGCATTGAATGTTATGACGTCTCATGACATCACAATTTTAAGGGTTGTGAAGTTACTCACCTCTGCTGTACTTCCAGGCACTGCATTCCAGACCACCACAAATTCTGGGTTAAAAAACATTTTCCTCAAATCCCCACTAAACGCCCTGCCCTTTCCCACAAGATTATGCCCCCTCATTATTCATGCTTCAACTTACAGGAACAGCAACTTCATATCCATTCTGTCCATGACCCTCAATCTGATAGACCTCAATCAGCCTTCTCTGCTTTAAAGAACACAGCTTGACTTGAGGTGTTAGCTCCTACTCTCTCTACTGATGTCAAACCTACTGAGTACTCCCTGCATCTACAGCATTTTGGTTCTGATAGAAGCAGACTGTTTCCAGTGGTAGAGAGTCTAGAATGAGGGGTCTTAAATATAAAAGTAAGATGTATGAGATTTCAAACAAACATCATAGTTGAGACACTGTGGAATTCCTGAAAGGATTAGAGTGAGGCAGAAACTGTGTCTCATTCAAGATTACACTTGTTAGATGACGGGGTTTGAGATCATTTAATGTTGTGGAGGTGAAAGTCTGACATGAACTACACAGGGAGCAGGCAACACCATAAAGGGTAAAACAGCACTGTTAAAAACCTATTCAAAAATGTTGCTTATCCAGGCTATATCTTACAGAATGACGCTGAAGCGACTGGGCTTCGTTTCAGTACCACAGCAATACAGCATTACGAGAATAAACATATACCTTTAACTGGGACAAATCTATTAACAAAACAGCCAAATTTTTCAATTTCTGTCCAATTGCATTTGGTAGTAAAGCTGCTTTCTCAGTACAGCCTCAGAATGTTCTTGCTGTAGCACTTGGTTAGATGTCCTGTAGTTTACTTCATGTCCAGGAGGTGGAAGTAGTAGACAGTGTCATTGATAAACATCCTACCATTTCATGAGCAAGGCAACAAAACATTGTGAAAATAAAGTGATGGCATATTTCAACGACTTGTGATATCGGGGCACAAGCAAGTTGGTGCAACATTGCATTCTGCTTTTTTAAATTTCTAGACACTCGATTACAGTAGTACTCCACCACTTTCAATCATTTTGTAATTCTTTATGAAGGAGCAGGTTTGCACAAACATCTTCGATGAGTTTATAAGTAGCAGCAAGACATTGCTAATCTCTGCAGCAGCATGCGGATGTCCTTTTCATTTGAAGAATCAAAGCCCAAAAAAAAAGCTGCAACTCTGAAGTGCCAAATTACACCCCAATTGTTCAAAATTAAACAATTATACTGTAGTAGACTAAACACAGCATGTCTGAACCCAAGTAGAATGGTTATATTCAGCTTTGTCCTGTGTAGGGTGACAGGTTAGCCACATTATGATTGAATTTTACATGCAGTTTAAAAGGGAGAAGACAGGATGTAAGACAAGTATTTTAACTCAAATAACTATCTAAGCATGACAGCTGAGCTAGCTGAATTGAACTGGGATACTTAAGCGAGGGGTTAGATCAATAGAGAAGCAGCAGCAGACAATGAAGGGGATATTTCGTAACACTCAGAATACGTATACCCCTACTACAAAGAAACATTCTAAGAGGAGGACCAACCGTCCATGATTAACTAAATAAGTTGAGGGAAGCATCAAGCTTAATGAGAAAAAGTGTGCAATAATGCAAAGATGAGTACCAAGTCAGATAATTAGACAGAATATAAAACACAGCAGAGAATGATACAAATTAACCAGGATAAAGAAATTAGAGTTATTTTTAATTCATTCATGGGAAGTAGACGTCACTGGCCAGGACAGCAGTTATTGCCCATCCCTAATTGCCCAGAGGACAGTTAAGAGTCAACTAATTAGCCATGGGCATGGAGTTGCATATAGGCCAAGCCAGGTAAGGGCAGCAGATTTCCCTCCCTAAAGGAGATTAGTGAATCAGATGGGTTTTTAACCACCATCGACAGCGGTTACATTTTTGTTTTATTAGACTCAAATTTCACTTTCTGTCGCGGTGTAATTCAAACCCATCTCCCCAGGGCACTGGCCTGGGTTCTGGATTGCTAGTTCAATGAAATTACCACTACACCACCACCTCCTCATGAAAAAAAACAGAGAAAAAGAGTTTTACATTTAAAACTTAAGAATTAGCAAAGTGTCATAGTCCCAGAGGACCACAGGGCTGCTCTCCGATAAGAGAGAGATGACAGGTGGTGGTTTAACCGGACGGTCAGCATGCCTCAGGTGAGGGGAGAGGTGGAGAAGGATAGACCTACATGGTAACCTCAGCTAGTGCAGCAATTGAACCCAGAATGTTCGCATCACAAACTAGCTGCCCAGTTAACTGAACTAACCAACCCCACTGGTCCACGAAAGAATGAAAATGTAACGAAATGAACAATATTTTGCTTCCATCTTCCAGGTACTTAGGCACATTACACAAGGGTAACAGACACCAGGCTTAGAAAAGAATTAATAGTTTTTGGTAAAAGGATTGGTCAAAGGTTGCATTAATGAGGTTCTACAAAAAGGAGAAACAGGAAGAGGAGAAATATTACTTGATGTGAAATTCAAGCCAGCAGCTGAATCGTGGTCACAAATATTGAGATGAAGGGAGAAGGCTGGAGAGAAGCCCTGATGTCTATGTATGATTTGATAACAGCATATTTCAGCTTCTCAAAAGATATTCAGTAAGGTGGCACACAAGGGTTGAAATAGAAGAGCTGAGAGGTGGAGATCACATAATAGCATGGTTGGAGCATTGCTCAACAGATGGCAGAGAATGCTGATGAACAGGACAATTTCAAGTTGCAGGCTGTATCTGGTAGAGTGCCACAAGGATCAACGCAGAGGCTTCAGCTACTCATGATCTATATTAATTAATTAGTCACAAGGAGATCAAGAGTAAGTATTTTCACAATACAAAATTAAAACTAGCAGGAGGATATATAGAGGTCCTAAAGTGATATAGGAAGGTTAAGTAAGTGAGCACACAGGTGGCTTGAAACATAAAACGTGAGGAAGTGAAAAATTATTTACTTCTACACAATGTCAAGTTTTTTTAGTCACTCATGGAATGTGGGAAATCGCTGGCTGGTCTGTATTTATTGCCCATCCCTAGTTGCCCTTGAGAATCATAGAATTCCTCCAGGGTGCAAGCAGTCCTTCCAGCCCATTGAGTACTCACCAACCCTCTGAAGACACCCATACACCCACCCTATCCCTGCATTTCCTATGGTTAACCCACCACTTCCAATTGGAAGGAGTTTTAGTTTGTGGATGTGGTGTCGTGGGCTGCTTTGCCCTAGATGATGTCAAGTTGCTTGAGTGTTGATGGAGCTGCACCCATCCAAGTAGGGAGTACTTCATCACACTCCTGACTTGTGCCTTATAGATAGTGGACAGGCTTTGATGTGTAGCGAGGTGAGTTACTCACCGCAATATTCCTAGCCTCTAACCTGTTCTTGTAGCCACTTTGCTTATATGGCAAGACCAATTGAGTTTCTGGTCAATGGTAACTCCAAAGATGTTGATAGTTGAGGATTCAGTGGTGGTAACACAAATGTCAAGGGGCAGTGGTTAGTTTGTCTCTTATTGGAGATGGTCAATGCCTGGCATTTATGTGGTGGGAAAGTTAATTGCCACTTGTCACCCCCAAGCCTGGATATTGTCCAGACTGTGTTGTTTTTTGAACATGGACTTTCAAATGGTGCTGAATATCGTGCAATCATTAACAAGTATCCCCACTTCTGATGTTATGATGGAGGGAAAGTCATTGATGAACTAGCTGAAGATGGTTGGGCCTAGGACACTACCCTAAGGAACTTCTACAGAGATGTCCTGCAGCTGAAATGATTGACCTCCAACAACCACAAACATCTTTCTATGTTGCAAGCATGACTCCAGCCAGTAGTGGGTTTGCTCCCTAATACCCATTGATTCCAGTTTTGCAGAAAATAACAACATTGCATAAATCTCTCCTCAGCTGTTATGTTCTAATATGCAATTCTTTCTTACTCGTAAGAAGCCTTTTCCTCCTTTAGCTAAACTGTCTCCAAAGTCCTTGGGTTGGCGGTTCATTTCCTCCCTTCTTTTCTGCTGGTATTCTTTATCCATGGTGATTGCAGCTAGGCCTTTCCCAACAGTGCCTGTGATTCGAGATACCACACCAGCTGCGCCACCTGTGTTTGGACAACAGGACATGCATTAGGCACACAAGTAACTCAGCAGACAGCGCTGGAACTGAAGTTGGATTCAACACAGTAAATGATGTTGCAGATTAAGAAACTGATAAACATGACTTTTCTTCTCATCAGCTCCAACATGTACCAACAGTGAAACTGCATCAGAGAGTTGTCACTTACCAACAGTATGTCCAAGCAGACTCCTCACTCCTATCACAAAGCCCTCTGCGAATTCCTCTGGTCCCTGAACAGCACCCTAAAGATTCACAGTCACCATTGTTAGAGAATAAAAACTGGGCTCAGCTTTGAAAGTCATTTTTCATTGTCTTCCATGCTCTTCTCAACTACTTACCTGAAAGGGTTCATAGAAGAATGCTTCTACACCTTCAGATAATCCTCTGATCAGGCCAACTGGGTTCCCAAGAACATCCAGCCCCAAAACGAGTACATACATTTGCTTTAGAAACTGAGAAAGGATTTTGAAGGGTTTGGTTAGCAACGTGATTCAGGCTTTTCACTTCTATTGATAAGAATATTATCCCCCCCCCCCACTTAAAAACGTAATGTAAGCCAAATACACAAGCAACCACTTGCATTTTTAGATTCCCCTTCTGCAAAACAGCATGCATGAAGTGTCACACAGGGGATCCAAAACAGTTGGTGTTATTACTGGACAATTCAGATCCCAGATCTGGCTTGATAAATCATATTTTGTTTTGGCTTTGTTTAATGAAGTGGTTATTTCACTGAAATACAAGAACACAATTCAGCTGATTTGGTTTTAACAATAAAACAAAAGTTTATGCTAAAATAGATTAAAATAAAAACAAAATAAGCCAGGCTATTTACATTAAACAAAATTTGAAAATTTTAAAACATACAAAAACACAATCCCATTCTTCTTAACACAATCACTGTACAGTATTCAAACACCAGAGAGAATTCACTTCTCAAGCAAGCCTACAGGTTTGGCTTAACTATTTCTTTCAATTCCCAATCTTCAGAAACTGATAGCCTTTTCTTTGATGAGTCCTGAGCTTAAACTTTCTCAACTTCAAATAACCCTTGAAAAGTTGTAAATAAATCGCTGGTTTGCAACTTTCACATTAAAACTGTTAGAATGAGATAACCTGTTTCCTAACAGCTCTAAGGCCAAATCCTTCCTCTAGGAGAAACTAAAGGAACTCTTGACTCTGCAAGAAAGCTCATGCTTTTCCATTTTAACTCTGTCTGATGATAAAAAGATAGCGGGTGAAAATTGTAATTCTAGAAAAGTAGTAATATGGTCACTGCAAGAAAATTAAACAGAGAACCACAAAAGCTACATACGAAAGCAAATACCTATTTAGGTTTAGGAATACAGTGACTGAAAGACTGGGATCCGGGTGCTAGTGTAGAGAGAATGAGGACCAAATACTGTCGTCAGCAAAACAGAGGGAATGGACTGAGAGCAGTTAAGGTCACTCAGTAACTCAACCTTGGGAATTCTAAATGGGGAAAAAAAACGTCTTACAATTCAGTTGCCGAACTAAAAGGGCTGGTGAATCTCAGCAGAGAAAGCAGTGAGAAGGTGCGCACAGCTGATATGAGGAGACTGGCGAGGAAAAACACGCTCTGAGGTGGCAAAAGCCTAGACTAGAGTTCTATAACACATCATTTAGCAAATCATTGCACTTTTTATTATCCAGAGGGAAAAGCACTAACCTAGGATACAAATCCTACTGTCTGATCCAATTTGTTTTGTCAGGTTAAGGTATTTTCATGTATGACCCTTTTCATGTTTGTGTAATGATTATTTTATGAGGTTGTGATTGCTTGCCAAGCTGGCTTGTTCTCATTCAGACGTTTCATCACTATGTTAGGTGATATCACCAGTGGAGCCTCTGATGAAGTGGTGTTATTCTACTCCGCTTGGAATTTACACTGTTTGGTCCATTATGGTGAGTAGTGTCATTTCCAGTTTTGATCTGTATGGGTTTGTATATGGTGTCCAATTCTATATGTTTGTTGATTGCATTACGGGTAGAGAACCATGCCTCTAGGAATTCCCATGGGTGTTTATGTTTGGCTTGGGCTACTATGGTTACCTTGTCCCAGTTAAACTTATGGCCTTCATTGTCTGAGTGTACCGATATTAAGGAGAGTTCGTTATGCCGTTTTGCTGCTAGCTGATGTTCATGTATTTTGATGGCTAGTTTCCTTCTAGCTACAGAACTTTTCCAAAACTTTAAGTGATTGTTTTATTCCAGAGACGATAGGCTGTTGCAAAAGCTGTTAGCCTATTCACATGACCCTACATTTATCAATTTAGCTAATTCTATGGAAATGCAGGAGATGACTCTCCACTGGGAAGCAGATAAACATTGTTAGCAATCTGCTTACAGTGCTGGACACATGGCTCACTGTTCTATGACAAAGGTAATGGGTACCACCTGTTAAAAAGATTTTGATAAATCATTTAGAACAATTTGTTAGGGTTCTTGTGGTGCAAGAACCTATCCCTGGTCTGAGAGAGCCAGGTTCAAGTCCCACCTGCTCCAGAGGTGTGTAATAACATCTCTGAACAGGTTGAGTAGAAAATATCTAGAACAATGTGTGTTTGGGGCTCTGAGCCAGAAGGTCTGGGTTCAAATCCCACTTGCTCCAGCAGCGTGTCAGAACACATCCGAACATGTTGATTAAAACATCTAGAATAATCTGTTAGAACTGTTGTATTGCAGGGTCCCTACCTTTGAATCAGGAGGCCCAGCTTCAAATCCTACACCTCCAGAGGTTTGCAAGAACATGATACAGGTTGATGAGAAAATATCTAGGGCACTTTGTCAATGGGGTCTTGTGGGCAAGCTTAACATCGCTACCTCTGGACCAGAAGGTCCAAGTTCAAATCCCAATTACATCAGATGTATGTCATAATATGCCTGAACAGATGAATTAAAACAACTAGATACTCTGCTCCTCTGATGATGCTTGACCTGCTGTGTTCCTCAGGTTCCACACTGTATTGACTCTGACTCCAACACCCGCAGTTCTTGCTTTCTCCAAGTGACACTACAGGACATTGGTTAGGCCACTTTTGGAATACTTTGTTCAATTCTGGTCTTCCTGCCATTGGAATGATGTTGTGAAACTTGAAAGGGTTCAGAAAAGATTTACAAGGATGTTGCCAGTGTTGGAGGATTTGAGCTATATAGAGAGGCTGGATAGGCTGGGGCTATTTTCCCTGCAGCGTCGGAGGCTGAGGGGTAACCTTGTAGAGTTGTCAAGCTATTTTTCCAAGAGTAGAGGAGTCCAAAACTAGAGGCAGAGGTCTAAGGGGAAAGATTTAAATGGGACGTGAGGAGCAACCTTTTCACTCAGAGGGTTGTGCGTGTATGGAATGAGCTGCCAGAGGAAATGGTGGAGGCTGATATAATTATAACATTTAAAAGGCATTTGGATGGGAATATGAATAGGAAGGGTTCAGAGGGATATGGGCCAAATGCTGGCAAGTGGGACTAGATTAATTTGGGATATCTGGTCAGCACAAATGAGTTGGACCAAAGGGTCTGTTTTCATGCTGTACAGCTCTACGATTTTATGATTCAGTCATAGAGTCACATAGCACAGAAACAGACACTTCAGTCCAACCAGTCCATGCCAAACATAATCCCAAACTAAACTAGTTCCACCTGCCTGCTGCTGGCCCATATCCCATCAAACCTTTCCTATTCACACACTTATCTAAGTGCTTTTTAAATGTTGTAACTGCGCCAACATCCACCATTTCCTCTGGGAATTCATTCCACGTTAACCATCATCTGTGTAAAAATTTTGCCTCATGTCTTTAAATCCCTCTCCTCTCACTTTAAAAATATGCCGTCATCTTGAAACCCTCTATCCTAGGAAAAAGACACCTACCATTAACCCTATCTGTACCCCTCAAGATTTTATAAACATGGTCAGTAAAGTGAATGGGGTGTAAATAGTGGAAACATCACATTGGTTTTAAAACAAAAAGTGTCCCTGCTCTGCATCAGGAAGCTTGGACTTAAGTCCCACTCGTGGCAGAAGAATGTAATAACATTCCTGAATGGTACAATTATGAAATATTGGGTGTCATTTGTTACTGCACCTCAACCATTTGAAGAATGGCTTTCATTCTGTCTAGGATCATTGACCCAGAGCATGCAAGAATTTACCCAGGTGGATAGAGTTGTTAAGAAGGCGTATGGTGTGTTAGTTTCATTAATAGAGGGATTGAGTTCAAGAGCCGTGAAGTTATGCTCCAGCTATACAAAAGCCTGGTTTGGCCACATCTGGAGTATTGCGTCCAGTTTCAATCGTCTCATTACAGGAAAGATGTGGAGGCGTTGGAAAAGGTGTAGAGGAGATTCACCAGGATGTTGCCTGGAATGGAGGGAAGGTCTTACGAGGAAAGGTTGAAAGAGCTCGGGCTTTTCTCTTTAGAACGACGAAAGATGAGAGGTGACTTGAAAGAGGTGTACAAAATGATCAGAGGTATAGATAGAGTGGACAGCCAGAGACTTTTTCCGAGGGTGGAGGTAGCTATTACAAGGGGGCATAGTTTTAAAGTGAGTGGAGGTAGATATAAGGGAGACGTCAGAGGTAGGTTCTTTACTCGGAGCACGGTAGGGACGTGGAATGCATTGCCGAAGAGTTGGCCTCATTAGGGACAATTAAGCAGCTGTTAGATAGGCAAATGGATGATAGTATAAAGGTAGGGGGTGGAGGTTAGACAGACCTTAGGATTAGGGTAAAAGTTCGGCATAACATCGTGGGCCGAAGGGCCTGTACTGTGCTGTACAGTTCTATGTAAACAGCAACATCAGAACTGTTGGACATTCACACCTGGGGACCACCTTGAAAAATAAGCAATCTGCAGGGTAATTTAAAAGAATAATCACTTACCTGTTCACTATAATGTGAAATTACAGTCCACATTAATTGATCCCTCTTTTGGAACTGGAATTTCATTTCAAAGAACGCAAGCCTGCAATAAAAGAAGCTTTTCAGTTTTTCTTTAAAAGTGACTAAATTACATTGGCAGAGCTAGCCACATTCGAAAACGCCATTTCACTCATTCAGCATGCTCCATCTACAGAAAAAACAAATAGGAACAGAAAAACAGCATAAACTCTTCAAGCCTGCTGCGTGGCTGATCGGATTCTGGCCATAAACACCACTTTCCTGTTCCCTCAAAACCTGACAAAAACATGTAAATTTATCCAAACATCTTGGACTTCCTCTAACTTGTTTAGCACGAAGCTGCACCCGCCACCAAAAAGTGAACAAAATACAAGTTCAGAATGACAGTTTCCTGAAATACAAGAGCTGTGGACTTGAGCCAATTTGTCAGGTGCACAACATTTTAGACATTAATCACTAGATCTGCCATCTCCTAAAGCATTCTGTTCTGCTGTCCCTTTTCACCAATTGAGAGGAGCTAACGGACCGGTGCGTTACTAAGAATTTGTTCAGCTGCCTTTATGAGGAAGCAGCAACGTCAAATCTTTCATGGTACTCCCTGCTCTCATATTCTTTGACTATATCTCATACACAAAGCCCAACTCCTCTTTACCTTGACTCTATTCTCACAAAATCGCAGTTTCTCTTCCAGGCCCTGACACATCTTTGCAAATGATTTACTCTCCTCGGGTAAAACTTTCTGCCCCTTTCAAAACCAGCATCACCTATCTCATCTAAAAGCCTATCCTCAATCCCTCCACTCTTGCATACTAGCACACTAACTTGGATTCCACTTTCATCTTAAATTCTCAAATATACTGACTCTTCCAAAAGTAGAACCCTCCTTTTCCCCCAATTCTGTGCTTCAGTCTCCCCAGGTCAGGTTTCTGCCCTTCGCACGGCCCTAAAACGATCCTGAACCAAAAACCACAAATGTGACCGAGATAGTAAGAACTGCAGATGCTGGAGTCAGAGTTAACAAAGTGCGGAGGTGGAGGAACACAGCAAGCCAGGCAGCATCAGAGGAACAGGGAAGCTGGATCATTGCTGTTCCTCT